AAAAATAATTAATATATCTAGTTAGTATAAAATTTTTTATGGATGATATAAATGGTATATACATAAAAATAGTAATTGATTTAAAAATTAATATAAATTATACTAACATAAACTATTAAGATTTTGTTTATCAGTGTTATATTGTAAGTACAAATTTTTTTATCTTTTAATATCTTAAAAATAGATAAAACATTAATCAAAATTAATAAAAGTATATAAAATATTAATTAATTATAATAAATTTACATTTTTATAAAAGTTGTTATGAAAAAAATTTATACAAAATATGGTCAATGAAAACCTAAATAACTTACAAAAAAAATTTTAAAATTTTGCACTCGTAACTCAAATTTCTAGCTCCGTCCTTAACTTCAAAGACACCTATGCTAGAGCAACCCAGATTCTTGACCCCAACCCAAGCTAAATCTATCTCCACATAAACCCTCACGTAAGATACCAAGCAATCCTACCCAAAAAACCATCCACCACCCTAGCCTTCCCCATTGAAACAATCCACCTGAATTCAGTAAACTTCTTACACCAACCCTGCCTCAAGCCACTTCCTAGGAAAATTCCGTAGGGAAAACCCTTGTCATTGAGCAAAATTCACTATTGGGCTACCTTCAAACCACTTTGCTATATATCTTCCCCACACCTTGCCAATCTAAGCAGAACCCTTGGTGAAATCCTAGCTGCAAATCCCCTCTCTATTCTGACCACCTACACACCATCTTCGGCCTCCATATCACACAAATACATCGGCACCTAAACAACTCACCTGTCTGCTGCCAAAATCTAGCCATAACTCATAAGCAAGGGTTTCCAACCTCTCACTGCCCTCACCTCTTTTAGACAGTTGAATCTTTCATAACTCTCAGCCTCCTCCTTCACGGTAGAAACTAGGGAAGAAAGATGATGAGAAGATTAATTAGGTAGATCCTACTCGTGCATAGACAGAGGGTTGAAACTCTCACTAGCAGTACTAAAACCTTAGTGAAGCTTTTTAGAAACAAGCTCATTCTATATTATGAAAAAACACTTTTTCAGTTCCTTCAGTTTAATTTGTTAAGTATTTATATAATATATATGTATGTATTTTTATTACTTAAACTTATAATATAAGCATAGTTTTTGTTTTAAAATTTATAAATTTAGAAATTAAAAACATAAATTTAATTGATTAACTAACAAAATAATTAAAAAATTTCAAAATAAAAGTTTAAAAAATAATAAAAATAATCTAATAACTTATTGATCTGATCTAAATGAAAAAAAAAATCCAATTCTCCTTGTATTCCAATGTGTTTTTGAATATGGAGGCTAGTTAAAAAAAACCCCGTAAGTTGAGCAGAGCGGTGACAAAAATTAGTTGAAAATAAAAAAGGAACCAACAGGATTAGATAAGGTCTCAGGAAAGTGAATCTCTGTATGTATCGTCCACTCCAAATATTCACCAACTATAAAAAAAAAAAAAAGCTCCTGCTACCATATCCGAACCGGCTTACTCCCTGCCTTATTGCTTGGTCGTGACGGTGGGACGCCAGGCGTCGTACGCACCAATGGCTTTCGCTAATCTCTGCTCTTCTTCCGTGGCTCTTTCTCGTTCTCCGTAAGTTCGTTGCTTTCTTTAGAATTCTCATCACTCTTAATGAGCTTTTCTACCGAATTTATTCTCTACTATGCTAATGAATCACACTTTTTATGTTATTGAGTATCAACTAAGCAAAACTCTTGCTTTTGCATTGGTTCATGTAAAATTGTGCACCCCCATGAGAAGAGTGATTGGTTTTGGTTAATTTGCCCATTTTTTTGTTTATCTTTCGTTCTGTAGAGCGTGTGGCGGTTTGCAGTGTGTAAATCAATTCCCCGCAAATTGGTCTCCTTCTGATTTGACAAAAAAGCTCTGCTTGAGTGTGAAGGGGGTTCATAGAGCTAGAGCTGCGTTGCTATCTGGTGAAGGTGGTCTCTTATCTTATCCTAACGACAATGGAGTTGCTGGCCAGGGTACCCTTATCGACAAACTTGAGGACCAGCGAACTGGTGATATAGATTTTGGAACACTTGCAGCGGGAATGACTCCTATAACTACTGGTTTCTTTGCTGACAATAATGAATACGACCTGGATTGTCCTACAGATGGATTTGCTTCCATTCCAGAAGCTATTGAAGATATTCGTCAAGGGAAGGTTAGTATGGTGCTCCACCTCTCTAGCTTATTGTTTCTTGAAGTCTAAATATTTTGTATTATAATTTCTTATGAAGGCAATTCATCTCTGATCAAGGGCAATTTTTTTCAGTTAGTGATTGTTGTAGATGATGAAGACAGAGAAAATGAGGGAGATCTAATTATGGCGGCATCATTGGTAAAGCCTGAAGCCATGGCATTCATTGTCAAGCATGGAACTGGAATAGTGTGTGTGAGCATGAAAGGTGAAGACTTGGACAGGTTGGAACTCCCGTTAATGGTGACCCAAAAGGAGAATGAGGAAAAACTTTGCACAGCATTTACTGTCACAGTTGTATGTTCTTAGCTTTATATTTTATTTGACAGCTGCAGTTTTCATATGTTCAGAAGTTTAAATTATGGGTATTGGTGGAATAATTTTATGTGTTTATCTCTATACTTTAAGACAAAGCAGGATAATATTTTTCCAGAAACTAAAGTTTGTATGAGTGCAACAGTAGAGTTAATTCTTTTTATGACTTAAAATGTTTAAGCACAAAAGAACTTATCTTCTCTACCATGAATTTGTGTCCTTATTTGAATAACATGGCTATGGTTAAATCTGGTGCATTGCAGTATTGCACGGCTTCTTTTGTGGGTTGGTGGCTGCCTTTTTATATGTGTCTTGGCTATATATAATTGAAAGGGAGAGGAAAAAATGGGAATCATGTAATTTTAGTAATCCATTTAGTAGTTCCTTTTTTTGTCATGAGCCTGGACAAGACTAGTTTATGAAATGTACAGGTATTTAGAGGTCAGGTTCATCAAAGAGTCGGTCTTGTTATTCCTAATTGACATTGATTATCGTTAGTGGCAAATAAAGCTTGCATGTTAAGTATTTAAAAGTTTTGTGTAATTTATGAAGATGATTGAATTTTTTGAAAGTTTCTGTCTTCAGATACTATAATTTGGATAATCCTGTGTTTGCTTCATGTGATCAATTCAAGCTTTCAATTCTTGTAACTTTTTCTAACTGAAATGATTTCAACAGGATGCAAAGCATGCTACAACAACTGGTGTGTCTGCTTGTGATAGGGCAACAACGGTGTTGGCATTGGCATCTAGAGATTCAAAACCTGAGGATTTCAATCGTCCAGGTCATATTTTCCCCCTGAAATACAGGGAGGGAGGGGTTCTAAAAAGAGCTGGACACACTGAAGCATCTGTTGATCTTGCTGTATTGGCTGGATTAGACCCTGTTGCTGTTCTATGTGAGATTGTTGATGATGATGGTTCAATGGCAAGGTTGCCAAAACTTCGTGAATTTGCAAAGGAAGAAAACTTGAAGATTATTTCAATTGCTGATTTAATTAGGTATAATAGCCAGCTGATGCTATTCTTGAAGTTAAGAATTATGTTCTTGTATTGCTTCATCACCATGTTAACTGTTATGCTTTATCAAGTAAAAGGATGGTATATACTGTGAATTGGTTTGAATCACCAATTGCACTTGGTGCCTCTGGTTAGGAGTTGGGGTTTTTTTTTTTTTTTTGGGGGGGGGGGGGGGGGTTGAAGGGGAAGGGATGTTGATGATGGATATGTATCATAGCATCGTACCATGTGTTTCAGTGTTTCAATTGTTATGTTTTATCAAGTAAGAGGATAGTATGTAGTGTGAATTGGTTTGAATCACCCACTTGCACTTGCTGCCTCTGGTTAGGCGTTGGTTAGTGTTCTTTTGTGTGTATGGGGGGGGGGGGGGGGGGGGGGGGGGGGGGAAGGGAAGGGGTGTTGAAGATGGATTTGTATCATAGCATCGTACCATGCATTTTCAGTGTTTCAATTGCATCTTCAAAGAGTTTATATCTAAGAGGCAAATAACAAGGAAAAAGAGAATGAAAGCCATTATTATAGAAGTAGTGATCAAGGCATCAAGCGTTTTTGTTGTTCGGTTAGTGTATTTGTCTTTAAGCATTTTCATCCTTATACCATTAGAAATAGTGTTTGTGCTCATTACTTATTAATTGACAGATATAGGAGGAAAAGAGATAAGTTAGTGGACTTGACTTCTGCTGCACCAATACCCACAATGTGGGGGCCATTTAAAGCCTACTGTTATAAGTCGTTGTTGGATGGTACTGAGCATATTGCAATGGTCAAAGTAAGCAAACTTATCTTAGATGGCATGATACTGATATATCTGTTTCTTACTAACTTAAGCTAGGAATATTCAACGATCCATTTAACTGCCAGGAGCTCAAGTGTACTCTTGATACTAGCTTAATAGGTTCAGATTTGTAAATGGTGCACTTGTAGCTATATGTATTACACTGTATCTTGCTCTACTGCATTGCACTCTGTTTGTTGAATTTCTGTGATATTGGCGCATTTTCTTGATGTCAAACTCTAATATCTGTTTCATTGTGCAGCTATAGTAACAGAACATGTTAAACTGCTTCATAGTTGCTTTCTCAGTAAATTAACCTATAAAGGACATTTCTTTGTCCTCAGAGCATTTTTCATGTGGCCACTTTGTTTCAGTGTCTGTATTACAAAGGACATATACATCCCATCTAAGATAGCATACTTGCCTTTAGAGACCTTGAATCACACTATGAAAATAAATAGTGCTTGCCTTGTTTCTTTTTTTCATCACCGTCCAATAGTGGAGATGCAAATGCTGTTGTCTAAAAGCTTTGAAGTAGTCATTTACCAGTTTCATGGTATGTGAGAATTAATTCCATGTAATGGAGGCGTTTGATGGGTTTTGTCATCTTGGCATATTCTGTTCACACTATCAAATTTTAAATATGACAATCTGTTGAAAAGGAGACTTTCTCATCAGCCATAAGAAGCAAAAACTTTGTAGAATGGTATACCTATTATCTTCATTTATTATAAGACTTCAAATCCAAGTTGGTGGATTGTACTTGTGTTTTCTTTGAGTATTTTCTCCAAACTCTGCGTCAAGGGCTTCGGTATAACTCTTTTTGCTTGTTTATTTTAATAATTATTAACACTAGCAAAGATAGAATTCTGCCCATGAATCTAGCTAATTTGCACCGATTGAGTATTTGTTACAAACTGTTTATATATTGATAAAGAGTTTAAAGATATTAACAACTATGAAGAATATATTATTATATTTATTGACAGAGTTGTCATACATACAGGGTGAAATTGGTCATGGTCAAGATATTCTTGTGAGGGTTCATTCTGAGTGCCTCTCTGGTGACATATTTGGATCAGCCAGGTGTGAATGTGGAAACCAGTTGGCACTGGCAATGAAGCAAATTGAGGCAGCTGGAAGAGGGGTACTAGTATATCTCCGTGGACAAGAAGGTAGAGGTATTGGCTTGGGGCACAAGCTCCGTGCTTACAACCTTCCTGATGATGGACGTGACACTGTGGAAGCCAATGAGAAGCTGGCATTAGCTGTTGATTCTCGGGAGTATGGAATTGGTGCCCAGGTACTTGTTTCTCTTATACAAGCAATTTTGTAGTATCATTCATGCTATAGGTTTATAGTTTTCTTTCTACTTCTAATTATCTCGTGGTGTCAGACCATACATTTGCCTAACTTAATAAACTACTGGCATCTTTGTTTGTTTAATACTTTGTACAATCTCTAATTTACTTAAGGTCTAGTTAGAAAAATGAAATCAACTCTCTTTGTCATGGTATATGCAATGATATCATGCACAAATGCAGCTCTCTTGTATGTATGAATTGTGAGTTTGGCAATTTACCGTTTCTCTAGCAAAAATTATATAGTGCAGAATTATATACAATTTTCTTCACATGATTGCATCGTCCACATAGTTAAATGCATGAGCTTATATGCTGCAGATACTCCGGGATCTGGGTGTTTCTACAATGAAGCTGATGACAAACAATCCTGCAAAGTATGGTGGGCTTAAAGGATATGGTTTGACTATAGCCGGAAGGGTCCCATTATTAAGACTGAATGACAGGGAAGAAGAGTAGAGAACTGGAGATTAAGGGTGAAAATTGGGACCTATCTATGGTTCAGATATTGATTCAGCACCAATGCCTCTTCCATTGACAACTCTGAGGGATAAAAAGGTGCTGATCCTTTGACCAAGTTAAGGACTTTGGTATTTTAGAATGAGAAGTACAAGGAATAGGCTTATTGCTGAAATTTTACGATCCTCTAAATCTATTTCATACTCTTTTCTTGTGAAAAATTGTACATAATTCGAGAAATAGATCGGTTATATATAGAGCTATCTTCTTGTGGTGAGATCTAGGGAAATGATATGAAAAACCAAGCATTTGAATTGCTTACTCTATACCATTATTCCTGTAAATGAGTGGCTACTTCAAATTTAATGAATCCAAGTGTCACATTGAGACCCAATGAAGCCTTGAAAGCCTTATTTAATTCCTGCAAGATGTATAGTTGGATTCTTAGAGCACGTACAAGACTATGGACTGCAATACAACCACAAGGAAGAACATGCAAAGATTGTTAACAGATTAATGAAAACACTATGTTGTGTTGATTCTTCTTTCTTTGTTTTACCTGTTTGGATTCTTCTTTCCTATAGGAGTTGAGCTGTTTGGGTTGTTCTGGCTAACAATGAGCTGTTTGCGTTTTTAAGGCTCAGTGGTTAATTAGTCCGAGATTTATTGTTTAGAGTTCTAGGGATGACACTAAAAAATGGCACCAATTTCAAAGAATATTGTGTGTGTGTGGTTTTTTTTTTTGTGAAATTAATAGAGTATTGTTTTCATTAGAAGAATTGATGTATGATTAATTCATAATTAAGACCGTTATTTTGTAACCTAAATTTACATGATATTGAACTAAAGGACCAGTTCAGTGGGAAAAGATGCATATAAGCATGACGCTTTGCAAATATGCTTAAACATAATTTGCAGAGTCTATTCTTCTAATAATTTTTCGAGTCAAGTATACATGGTTCTCAAGAATTTAGATTAGGTTAGTGATAATTGGTGTTTAAATTTATATATTATTCACAA